TATATATGAATGTTCGAAAAGAGAAAATAGTGAACAATGTGATAAAGAAATTAGGAAACGAATTAGCGAATTAACTAAGATATCAAAAACGACAATTTATCGCTTAATTAAAGAAGAAGACGTTATTATTCACGGTACAAAGAAGAAAAGGAAAAATACAAAATTAAAGAACATTGACGATTTTACCAGAGATGTAATACGGCGCACAATTTATATGTATAAAGCAAATAAAGTTCCTACTTTAAACATGATTCGAGATAAATTAAGCGATTATCCTGATTATAATTATAAATCTTTAGATATGTACTTTACGACATGTTTTATTACAATGAGGTTTTAAACATAAAAAACTTGACAATCGTATGGTAATTATGGAATCACGACGTATAGTTGCACTTCGGGAAGATTATTTACAAAAAATTCGAGAATATCGTCAACTAAATAGGAATATAGTATTTCTAGACGAGACAGGACAAAATTTTTCTGGACACCTATGGATTCCGTAGAGTTTATGAGTTAAATGTTTTTATGGGGTTCCACCTGATATCGTTACCATCTTGGATCTCGATGAAGTTTGATGTTAGTGTGGAACAAAGATTCAAATGATGTCCAAAATCTAAGTTTCATTGTTAGTGTAGAGAGGGCGCCAGGGTCTCCTAGAAAAGGTTCTCCTGTGCAATACAACCGTGCTAGCGAATAAATTGAAAGTTACAAGGACATTTTTTTGCTCTATATGATGGTTGCAATGCCAAGTTATAAAAAGTTTGAGTTTTATTGCTATTATCTCACAAACTTGCTCAAATAATCCGTCATGTCAATTTGGGGCCGTCAATTTGAGGCAGATTTCTTATGCTTATAACTTTGAAAGAGTGCTTTTAGAAACTTATGCTTTGGTGAGCTATCTAAATCCATTCTCACACATTCTTAAAATTAGTAAGTGAGTTTGCCAGCGAAGAACATGTACTTCTAAGTCGACGATCTGGATTGAAATTTTATGAAGGATTAACAATTTGCCCGCATCATGAAGCAAGGCTTCCAACGAGTTTCCAGAATAGAATCCTGTATAGTGGCATATTGAATTTTCAGTGTTCCCTATGGAATATTTAGATGGGTTTTCTTCAGTTTCCATGATAAAAGGACTCTTTATCGCAAATTTCAATAATCGTATCATAAATATCAGGTAAATTGCAGTAAAGAAACTAAACTATTCAATTAGCGCAAAAACTCAAAAATGGTAAGATTATATTAAGAGTGCCTAAATAAAATTGTATATTAAGCAAAGCAAGTGTAAGTTAAATTTAAATAGCTTTTACAAATTGTTCCTAAAATCTGAAGTATGTGACTGACAACCATCGATCGTCCTGTAGATTATGTTTGCATATGTCACAATTATATTCAAATAAGTGCAGTTTTCAAAGTAATTTTTCTGGCTTTGAAGGATTAGTCTCTAAAATTAAACAAGATGACTGTAAAAGAAAAAGTCTGCTGGTTACAAATAGTAATAAAAGGAATTTGAAAAAGAACATTTTGTGCTATTTGGGTTTGAAAATTCACAAAATTTGACGCATAAAATTTAATCCTCATATTCAATAGCGCTTATCTCGAAATCAAAGTGGGCTTAATAACTGATATTTTGGCAGCTTAAAATCTGTAATGGGTTTAGTTAGCTCACCAAAGCATAAGTTTCTCCAAAAGGTCTTGTTCCAAAGTCATAAACATCAAAAGTCTGCCCTAAAATTGATATAACGTATTATTTGAGCAACTCTTAGAAATAACAACAATAAAATTAACTCTTTTTTAAACCTTGGCACTGCAACCATCATGCAGAGCACAAAAGTTTGTTCTTGGTTGCCATTTTTCAAGATACTAGGTGTCATCTTATTCGAATTCGCATCAATTCAGTAAATCAGTCAATATCGTAAAAAAAAATTTTTTTAATCCTTATAGTTTTCAAGAAAAAAATTATTGAAGTTGTAGTATTTACAACCCTTACATCGCTTAACTGTAGTCTCTAGCGTCGTTTTCGTTGTGCGCTGTGCGCAATGTGCTCTCTCTCCACGTGGCCCCAGGTGATTCCGAATAGTGTTTAGTGTTTAACTAGTTTTTCAAGTTTCATAAATGGCTTACGTGTATAACAACTCGGAGTTGATGGAAATCATTTTAATTTATGATGAAGCAAGACAACATTTGTGTTATGGTGAAGCAAGACAACATTTATGTTAGTTCGTAGAAACTGGGTAAGACGGGCCCAAATGTCGCTCCACGTCGGTGGACCAAATTTTGAACAATTGCAACATCAAGTATGTCAAATTATTTTATTAATTAAATTCACCAATATTTTTTTTAATTAATAATAACTGTTTCGTTTTCTTACTTTATTTAGTTTTTTTTATATACAGGGTGTCCCGGAAATGGTGGGCAATCTCTCGGATATGGATAGATAATGAGAAAGTAATGTCACAAGTTCATATAAAATGTTTTCCTCTGGGCTAACCCTGTAGAATTATTAGCTCTTGAAGTTGAGAATTAAAAATGTTTTTTTTTGCTGCAACTTTTGTATTTTTCAATAAATTTTGAAAATTTTTTGGCTGGATCTATAATTTTTGAAGCTGCTTTGGATGATAATATGAAATAGATATTTTTTGAGATAAACCCGTTTAAAGAGGAAGGTACCATTTAATTTGAGACATTTTATTTAATTGAAACACAGATTTAATCGTGGTTGGCTTTGACATGTCAGAGTATGCCAAAGGCAATTAAATTGTCAAACTTGTCAAATACGTAGTTTTAAATCTAAGACTCATCTCATAACTCATAATNGAATATCCATAAAATAGATATTTTTTGAGATAAACCCGTTTAAAGAGGAAGGTACCATTTAATTTAATTAAAATTAATCAATAACATTACATATGATCTGTGTGAAACATATCAGATTTGTGGTAGATCTTTGTTCTATAAAACTATGTTGTTCAAGAGATATGATACCCCTGAAAAGTGGAAACATACGATTATACAACGACATCTCGAAGACCTTCGCAAAATTGCATAACAAAGTAATGGGCCTATAGTTATTAATGTAAGAAGTATACCTTTTTTACGTAAAATACCATAAATTTTTATAAAATGATGGAAAATTTGGGGTATAGTGGAACAAAAATTTTTTATTCTAGAAATTTTGGTGGGAGGTGCTTTGCCCCCGGGCCCCCATAATAAAAAATTTATTGAAAAATACAAAAGTTACAGCAAAAAAAACATTTTTAATTCTCAACTTCAAGAGCTAATAACTCTACAGGGTGAGCCCGGAAAAAAAAATTTTATATGAACTTGTGACATTATTTTCTCATTATCTATCCATATCCGAGAGATTGCCCACCATTTCCGGGACAACCTGTATATTCTCTTTCTAACAATTATTATTATTCTCTAGAATCTCTAATTTACATATTTTTTGTTCATTGTTGTTACCGCGTAAAATTGGTGGTTTTCAACGCCTCTACTGGCGACGACTCGAACCAAAAGGACTTGAATGATGACTCTCTTTGAAACCATACGCTCTCTTGTGTTCGCTATTATTCCGCTATCAAAAAACTCTGGTGTTTTCCATTAAGGCCCGTTTACACGGTCATGCAATTTGCGACAATTGACTTGAGCAAGTAAGTTCACGTAAGTAAATCGTTGTGTGTAAACGGAAGCATGACGTTTGCGCAATCCGAAAAGTTTGGCTTGAATGAAATTTGTCCTGCTAGAGAAATTGCATGCGGTGGTGCTGTTGCATGAGCGTGTGAACGGGATTGCTCCATCCTTCCGTCTAGCGCCTGCGCATTGCTGACAGTTGTACTCTCTCAAGGAATAGCAGTCATTTGTTATCAGCTGTTTGTCTATAATAATTATTATAGTTTGTGGTTGTTATTGGTTATTTCATGGTTATTTCTGACGCCCTGTTTTGGTTTTTGTTGAAATGGCAAAAAAGATAATGAGTTTCTCCGAGAATTTATAGAGTTATTATATAAATCATTTCCGTGTTTGTGGAAAGTAAAGAGTCGGGAATATACTGATCGAAATATGAAATCTCAAGCCTACGACATTTCTTCTCAAAATTTCTTTTTAATAACTAGGGTTTAGACCATCTTCTCTTTTCCTTCTTCAATTTTTGTTTTTTCTTGATAACGCATATCGCAACCATCACAAGAATTAATTCGTCAACATTTTCCATTTTTGTAAATCAATAATAAGTAAATCAATATAAATGCAATATTAAATAAGTAAATCAATATTTATACTATAAATTTAGGCATTGATAAGTTATTTTCCATACCGACAATTAGAATCATATGCCAATGAACCAGTAATAAAAAATACAGTCAATTTCAAAACAATAACAATAGCGGCAAAAGCAGTTGAATTTGTTGATATAAAATTTTATTTATTTCTTTCCTTGGGAAAGAAATTCTTTCAATTTTTTGTCAGTTCATGCTTTGCCTTGCACAAGGTCAGAATTTACAGAAATGTATTTTTAAATCATTTTCGAACTGCCCTCTTCGATTTTTTTTTACAAAATTGTATTTGTAAGGGTCCTCTGTACATTAAATTTTTTTTCGGATAAGTTCTAAATCACCCTGTATAACACCTTCTGAGATACAGATTACTAAAAATATACCATCCCTTTCATGTTAGCAAATTTATACATTAATGATATTACTATAATTACAATGGTCTTTAACTAATTTAATGTAGGTAAATATTTTAATCGTCATTGTCGTTTATTATACTACATATTGATTTAAAAAAAAAAAACAAGAAAAGAGGATGTCAAAACAAGCGTAATAATATAATTAAATTTTTTTTCATGTTACTTATCGTAATGAATGTGTATTCCTGTAGATAGGTACGCAAAAGAAATCGAAATATAGCAAGTATCGTCAGGACGGATGTTCTAACGCTTTCACATTTCAAGAGACGAGTCATTTTGCACTGTTAAGGCGAAACAAAAAACTTACATTGTATCGCACTCGGGGATCAACTATGAGCTGTTTCGCCAGATTGGGACTTGAACTAGTTCGAGCGGGTGTACGCATGGAGGCTCCACCAGAGCCCTGGAGGAGATCGGGTTTGTCGACTTCCGGCCCTCCGAATTCCTGCAGCTGTTGCAACCAACAGCAGAGCATAGCCTCGATGCCTTCATCTACCTGGGCAAAAGATGTAATATAATGTTAAATACGTTTGATAATAAGCAAAATATATACAGGGTGTAAAGAGATTGATTGAGATTATTTTAACAGGCGATGGATTGGAAAACGGCGAATCTTAGGGAAAAAATTCAAGTTAAATTTTTTACGTATTTTGTGCATTAGAATATAAATCCGTTATAATAACTTGTAAAAAATGTAGTGGCGTAACTTTTTTTGTAAAAAAGGAGATGAGCACTGCCCAGTTGTACACCACTGGTTGTACTTTTAAAGCTCATATTTTAGGGAATTTAAGGCCTACTATCATAGATTATTTGTACTGAATTTTATTGAGATCGGTTAAGAGATTCCGGAGATATAAACAAAAAATCAATTTTTTTAACAACTTCAACACCCTGTATCTCTAAAACGGAGCTGTTCCAGACCAATGTTTATAAGGCAAACACATATTATTTTAAAGTGTGAGATGCTTTTGTATGCTGATGGCTCCAAAATCTATACTTCCATTTCTTCAGTGAGCTAGGCCCACAATCTTCAGCAAGAACTTAATAAACTTATATTTATTTTTATCATTATTATTTTTTTCATGATTATTATTATATCACTGTAATCGCAAGAAAACGTATATATAAAACGTATATATAAAACGTATATGTAAAAATGTATGTACCTATAACGTAACCTACGAGTATTTTAAAAAATATAACCCACTGTTTAATTGTCTTCCCGCTTAAGTTTTAGAAAACATAAAAAGTTTCGTACAACATTTATCCATACGGTCTTTTTCTAAGTCGAAAATAGCGAAGAAACATATAATACTTCGTCACCCTATACAGATATTTTATTGGTCAATTTTTTCACATTTTGTTAGGTCTGTGGAACTGGAGAATCGAGAACAAATTTGTCTGTAAGATTACAAATTGTGTCAATAAAATATTGAGGATTAATGAACGTAAACCCCTTTCTGCTACATGGATCAATGTTAAATTAAAATACACGGAAGGAAAGCAAGATTATTTCATTTTATTCTGTGTGTTCGATTACCCATCATTAATATTTTTGTTCAACAAATGGTGTTAAAAGTTGCTTAATGATTTTATTAAAAATAATATTGTTATATTAAACAAGTTTAAAAATATCACGATCGTTTCATGTTAGTTAGTCCATTTGAAAATTAATTTCACTCAATTTCATACATTCCATGCAAATTAAGGAAAACGTATAGTATTCCTATCTCTGAAATTAACCCTATTTGCGATGTTAATTAAAAATTTAATTGCATGCAAAATCCGGTTTAAAATTATCGTGTTTCTGCCAACCGAATCAAATATGTATATTAATTAAAAAAGCTAGTTTCGTGCTTTCACATAGGCATCTCGTGTAAATTAAATGGAATTTTGTATTTCGATAAAAAAAAATGCGTTCAGACTTTTTTGAGATTCTACAGAAATACTTGAGTATTATACACTTATCGATTATACAGAGTATATTGCAAAAAAAATCATGAATTTAGTGGCTGATAGACACAAAATAAGATTTCGTTCTTATTGACTAATGAAATTTTTTTAAATCAAATTTTAGACACATCTTTCCAAAAAAAGCGATCTAATGCAATGAATTTTATTAACTTTTTACCATCGCCAGCTACTATCTTTCAGTCACATTTTATGACATAACATTTTTGAGGTTATATTTTTAGTGTATGTTAAATACAAAAATTTATTTTACATAAATAGATAATCCTGCTATATTTATTGAAAACGCACCATTTTCTTGCTTGTATAAAACGTCATGTTGTTAAGTTATTAGATAGTTACAGTTAAATAAAAAAGATATTTGAAAACCCATAACATATTCACCACATATTCTTCTATATGATATTATACAAAGATAATTTCATCTTCGTCTAGATAAGATAATTTTGATTTAAAAAAATATATTTTGCTAGTAGCCCTAGTATTTTGACTTTATTTTACAGTTACAGATAATTGAAATAAAATCAGAAATATTTCTAAAAAATCCTATTAAATTAAGACAAGCAATCTTCTTCTATACCAAAATCTAAGTATGCAAAATGTACCTAACCTTATAGACAAAATTCTTAACTGAATTATACCAGAAGTATCTAGTTAACTAGTAATTAATAATAATTATTATCTAAAATGAAAATTTAAATCGATATGTAATACCAACAGAGATTTTCATATGAACTTTAGTAGACAATAATCGACATGATTGTTTATAAATAAATTGATTGATGCCCCTCTGGATCATTTTGAATGCTTCAGACAGAAATTAAAAATAAATAACAAAATTGATCCAGTTGTAGTCAAATTTCACTCTTTCGATGACAAATTACTTGTTATGAAAAATAAAGTCTCTTAGGAACACAAAAATATTAATTTCGGAAGACCTTTCCAAGCAACGAATAATTATTCTACAAGCAGCCAGAGAAAAGTTTCGCAAGTATGGACCATGCATGAAGTTATCTCTTTTATTAACTTATATTCTATCAGTAGATTTTATAAATAATTTCACTGAATAGTTTTTATTTATATATTGGGGGCATGGTAGCTACATTTTACATTTCTCACAGTATATTACATATATATCATTAATTTCCTTTTTTTAGATAAACTAATTTTGTTTCCCTATTGTTTGTCCATATTTTTCTTAATTTTTGACCTTTTTTTAAATTTTATTATACTATAAATTACTTATATTTTTGTAATTTGCTACTTGCATACTACGACAAAATTCTTAAAATTTGCTCATTTAAATATACAATCATGTACTAAATTTGAGCTTTTAACAGATTCTGCAGATCTGGACGTACTAGCGATATATGAAACATGGTTAAGTCCTAATGATTATAAAATATCCAATTGTGTACTTATAGGAGCAGATATAGGCAAAGAATGAAGGGCCGAGTAGCATGTTTTACCCAAAATTGTTTTCATTAATCGTTAATATTAATACAAATAAAAAAAATTGGAAAAATTCATGTGTATTAAAAAAAATTGTATGGTATTTTGTATGTTTATTGAAAATATACACACACATGCACCCGCGCACATATACACAAACAAACTATCCTTTTTAGGGAAAAATGATAAGCAAAATCCGACTTGACAACCTCCTCGTGATGCACATCGGGTTACTCTAATGTCAGCAGTAATTGTCGTTATTGTTTATTTGTGAGAGCATTTCACATATTTCTATTAAATATATGCTAATCATTATTATTAAGCAAGCTGCATTATTTGTCAAAATTTATATTTGCTACATTGTGTCAAAAAGAACATATTTGAGGTGAATCAATTTTTCACTTTTGATCAGTGATAAAAAAGGGACAACAGCAATTTTTCAGGAAATTTCACCGAAAGGTGAAGGGTTTTTCCATAAGGCGTGATCTTTCCGAGATTGGTAAGCACTTAAAGTACAATTATGAATTGCACAATAGGATTGTTGACCAAATTTCAAAAAGTAGATATTATAATTCTACACGTACTAATTAGTGTGTATGCACAATTAGAGATTGAGAAATGCGTCGGAACAGTTTTAAAATAATTATTTAAAACTGATTTTTTTATAATATTTCAAAACGGCTGTGACGTCATAAGGGGCACCTTGTAGTGAAATTATGTGTAGATGATTGCATAAAGGAAAAAAATTGGAGGAAGAAGATGCTCTGTCAACACTGTCAGTAGTGTCAGTCTGTCAGTGACATTGTCGCATAAAATATTTTCAAGTCTAC